ACTGAGCCACCCAGGCGGCCGGCTCAGTTGTATATATTCCAAAGAGGCCATTAATTGGGATCTTTAGGATATTACGGCTAATTAAGTCAAACTGAGGATTTGAAAGCATTTCTTACTGTTGTAAGATGTCTAACAGTAATGTGTTGTAATGTCTAACAATAGCCTGGACGTAGAAAGACAGAGTTTTGAACAGCAGGAAAAATTTATGTGATTCATACCAGTGTCCCTCCTTCTCCTTCTGGTATGTGACTGTTTTCATTTACAGAAGATAAATCCATGCCAAGAATTCAACTGGACATGACCTAAAATTACTTTAATCTTAGTGTACACCTTGGAGGTGTGAAGCCCGCTTTCCTTGGCAGCCTTGCATAGCTAATCCACACAGATTTTTCACATTTATGAAGATGGGTCTTTCCCTAGAAGTAGCAATGGGGTTTATTAGAATATGGGGGCAGGTATAGCTTAAGAAACATATTGTAAACTTATTAGTTAATACAAAGTATCAAACTTAAAGTTGGCCAAATTATTTTTAGAACTATGCTGAAGATGGAGTAAAACATAACCACTGTAGGGGGCAAGAAAACTTGTTTCAGGAAATCAGAATCTATCACCAAGATAACCAAGATGAGCATTTGGACTATGTTTGAGGCTGAGTAGAGGATGTCATAAATAATACTTTGGAGGAAACCCCCAAATGTGAATATAAAATCGTGCTGTGCATGTGATAGTATTTGTCGGGTACTGAGTGCTTTGCATGTGGGCTAGAGGTTAGATATCATCACCATTTTACAGGGAAGAAAAGTGAGGCTAGTGTCAACAAATAAGTCCATAGCCAGAGTTTGGATACATTTTCTTTTTTTTTAAGATTTTATTTATTTATTTGACAGAGATACAGAAAGAGAGAGAACACAAGTAGGGGGAGTGGGAGAGGGAGAAGCAGGCTTCCCGCGGAGCAGGGAGCCTGACGTGGGGCTCGATCCCAGGACCCTGGGATCATGACCTGAGCCGAAGGCAGACGCCTAACGACTGAGCCACCCAGGCACCCCGAGTTTGGATACATTTTAAAAATTCTGATTAAAAAAAGAATCTCGGGGTGCCTGGGTGGCTCAGTTGGTTAAGCCACTGCCTTCAGTTCATGTCATGATTCCAGAGTCCTAGGATTGAGCCCCGCATCGGGCTCCTTGCTCTGCGGGGAGCCTGCTTCTCCCTCTCCCTCTGCCTGCCGCTCCCCCTGCTTGTGATCTCTCTTTCTCTCACTATCTCTCTCTCTGTGTCAAATAAATAAATAAAATCTTTAAAAAAAAAAAAACAAAACTCAGGGTCTCTTTTACATACCTGAGTGCTTCTCTGTATCCTCAGAGAAAGGTAAATAAGTCCTTTTGGGTAGTTATATTTTCTTTTTTTTTAATAAAGATTTTTATTTATTTGAGAGAGAGTGAGAGAGAGAGCATGAGTGGGAGAAACAGGCTCCCCCAACGAGCAGGGAGCCTGACGTGGTACTCGATTCCAGGATCCCAGGATCCTGACCTGAGCCAAAGGCAGACATTTAACCGACTGAGCCACCCAGGTGCCCTGGGTAGTTATATTTTCAAGTGGCCGGGGTTCTATCCACTCAGGAAGCTAAACATCATAGAAAGCTTTCTGAAATTAAATCACATATTTTCTTGCCTCCTTTGACATGTAATACTCTAACATGTAATACTGAACATTTTCAACGTTTTCCTGAAAACTCATCCTTAATGTGGGTGACACCATAAATGTGCTCCTGGGGTCTAAGTTGTGGGAGGCTCCTGGCCCCACACTGTGATGCTTTTCATTTGCTAGTCAGAGAATGATTTTTTTTTTTTTTTAAAGATTTTTATCTTTCCATGTCAGAGAGAGAGAGAGAGAGCACAAACAGGGTTAGCGGCGGCAAAGGTAGAAGGAGAAGAAGGCTCTCTGATCAGCAAGGATCCCGATGCAGGACTTGATCCCAGGAGCCTGGGATCATGACCTGAGGCAAAGGCAGATGCTCAACTGACTGAGCCACCCAGGCGTCCCCAGAGAATGATTTTTATTCCTCCCTGGGTGGCTGTTCTTATGGTTCAAATGGGAATTTCCCAGGGCCTTAGAAAGGAAATAATTAAACTAGTTAGCATTGTATGTAAAGTAAAAGTAAATAGGCCTGAAAAGCTAGACTACAAGGGAAGCGTTAAGAGCACAGATCTAACTTACATTCTGTTACAGCAGCCTGATTAAATCTTTTCTGTTATGTCCCATAGGTGAGTGCATCCCTTAACTGAGTTCCAAGTAAGCAAGATAGTGAAACTTTCATCACAAGAGATAGACGTGCATACACACACACACAGGTTTTATTTTTTCACTGGTACTGACCTACCACACTTAAAGATTTCCACCCACACTAACAAATAATTTTACTTTTGAAGAAAGGAATTTTTAAATTTTTTTTAAGAAAGGAAATATTTTATATAACCATTTAGCGTTTGTTTCCATTTTTCTTTTAAGAGGTTTTTTTCCATAATGAAATGTGGTTTTTGTTCACCCATGGCAAAAGCCTTTGCTACACATTTGCATAAACTTGTCACTAATAAATCTTTCTTTAGTAAGAACATAACAGAACAGGAGCATAACTCTGGAGGGGTTTTAATGTTCCTGAGCCTTGGTTTCTTCATGTGTAAGATGCAGATCATTAAAGATTAAATGAGGTCCTATGGGGGCACCTGGGTGGCTTAGTCGTTTAAGTGTCGGCCTTCAGCTCAGGTCATGAGCCCGGAGTCCTGAGGAGGGCTCTGTGCTCAGCGGGGAGTCTGCTGGAGAGTCTCTCCCTCTCCAGCTGCCTCTGCCCACCGCCCTTCCCCCACTATGGTCTCTTTCTCTCTCTCTCTCTCACTCACATAAATTAAAAAATCTTAAAAGATAAAATAAGATGAGGTCCTATGGTGTGGCAGGCTGTCTTAGTCCGTTTGGGCTGCTATAACAGAATACCATAGACTGGATAGCTTATAAACAACAAAAATTTATTTCCCACAGTTCTGGGGGCTGGGAAGCCCAAGGTCAAGGCCTCAGCACATTCGGGGTCTGGTGATGTTCTGCTTCCTGGTTCACAGACGGCTGTCTTCACTGTGTCCTCACATGGTGGGAGGGGCGAGGAGCTCTCTGGGGTCTCTTTTATAAGGGCACTAATTCCAGTCTTGAGGCTCTGTCCTCATGACCCAACCCCTCCCAGAGGCCCCACCTCCTAACTCCATCACACAGGAGTTAGGATTCGCCATAAGAATTTGGGGGGGACATAGGCATTCAGTCCACAGCACAAGCTCAGCACAGTAAAGACACGTAAGATGGGTACTATTTGAACATAAATTCAACTGAAATTCAAGTGGAATGATACCAATAACCATGTATTTATGCTATAGCTTAAGAAAATTGTTCTTGGTCATCCCCTTATCTACCAGAAGGAATTAAAACCAGCCTGTTAAGTTGGCCTGACAGGATCACTGAATGTCTGGGCTGGGAATCCACTATATTCTCTCAGTTCCACCCTCTCATTTAACACGTGGGGAAACAGGTGCAGGGAGTTTGTGAAACTCGCCCAGAGGTAGAGAACGGAGATGCTGCATGTCTGCGTAGCCTCGTTACTGAGAAATCTTTCTTTAGTAAGAAAAGGTTGCACTGAGCCAAGTGAAGGACCAGGGTTCTTTTCATTAACATGAACATCTTTTCATTTATGTGGTCCTTCACAATTTGCAAAGCACCCCCTCAGCCCCATGACCTAGTTTATTACACTACATCCACGAACTTATGAAGGTGGCCCTTTTTCCCCTTTTCTTTGGGAGAGTTTTTGCATTCTCAGACTTGTGCTGCAGCAGCTGAATCTATGCGGATGCTTCACTTAAAAAAAAAATACACACACACACAATGAAATGAAATGTGTGCATATGTCCCTATATACGTCTCTGGAAGAAACATCACGTCTCTGTGAGTCTCGTGCAGTTCACAGCCTGGCAGACACGAATGCAGACAGAGAATGATCTTTGGTTTGAGAATTCCTGAATGTCACTGACACTTCCATAATAAAGGGCTTAGGAATGTGGACATTTTCAAGAGGCGTGGCAACATTTATAGGCAACTCTTTAATGAGTCTTATTTGGGGACAGAAAGGGGAGGTTGGCCAGCCCTCTTCATGTGGTTTTAGGCAGTTAAGTCCTTCAAAGGACAAAGAGTGAAATCAAGTCATTTCTCCTCCTGAATTTTTCCCTCTTATTTTCCTTTGTTGTAAGGTTACATATAAATGTATGAGTATAGGGACATTATAAAAGAGAAGGGATATCCTGTGAGGGAGGAAATCAGACAATAAATCCAAAAACACTACGGAAATTACAAATCCGAACTTGGGGGAGGGTGGGAGGCAACACGCTCTTTCACAGAGCTCTTCCTTACACGCCATGCAACTGTCCTCCAAAGTGGGAATGGAACAGACCAGACACACAGCTGCAGGACGGAGCTGGGGTCTGGGCTTTAGAGCTGTTCATGTCTTTGGGATTGGGCTGGGCATCAAGCGCCTTTTCCGGAATAGGCCAGAGAAGATAAGTCCAGTTTGGTTTTTAAGGCTTTAGTCAGCTCCATGGCCAGCAGCTCGTGGAGGGACATGCCGTCGTGCGCGTACACCCAGTTCTTCCCTGTCCAGTCGTAGCGCTTGGGCCCGCTGCAAGACAAAATAAATACGCAGGAAGTCCACGAGGACAGCCCCTGAGGACAGGTAGTAAATGCTGACTCCACAATGCCACCACCAAGAAACTGACCGGAAGAGAGGTCCAGAAAGTCAATTTAACAAGGCGTACATTTGACTTCTTGTCTCAGGTCTTTCTATGTAAGAACAAGTACCCAGTTTATCCCCTGCAACAATCTGACAGAACAATTCTCAAGACCTGAAAACATCTGAACCCTCTCGATGAGTCTCTGTAAAGCACATTCTGAGCTTTCACTTTCCCGAACTCACAGAGGGGTACCTGCTATGTCAGAGCAGGGTTGTTAAAATGATGGCCATTCGTGTACTACTCACATGATTTGTCCCTTACCTATATTATTATTATTATTTTAGTACATTCATAACAAATGCAACCACTACCTCTCTCTACCAAAACACCTCATCACCCCAAAAGGGAACTCTGTGCCCACTGAGCAGTTAGTCCCCACCCTCTCCTCTCCCCAGCTCCTGGCAATCACCCATACTATTTTTTTTTTCTTAATATAACTTTTCTTGGGACGTCTGGCTGGCTCAGTCGGTTAAGCGTCTGCCTTTGGCTCAGGTCATGATCTCAGGGTCCTGGGATCGAGTCCCACGTCGGGCTCCTTGCTCAGCGGGAAGCCTGCTTCTCCCTCTGCCTGCCACTTCCCCTGCTTGTGCTCTCTCTCTGACAAGTAAATAAATAAAATCTTTAAAAAGAAAAAGCAATGCAGTCCTATGAAAGATTATTTTGGATGTGAGAAGTTGAGTGGAAAATAAATTTTTTTCTTGAGGAACACAGTATCTGTGATAGTAAAATGGCTGCTTAGCAGATTTTCTTTCCAGATTCCCATCATGAATTACAGACTGAACAAGCCTGGGGTAGGATCATATTGCTGGTAGGGGTGTCCAAACACGATACGGACTTTTTTGGTCTCCAGATACGACAGGGAATTCCTTCAGTGGAACCATGATAGATGGTTCTGGTGCCCTGCCTGATATTTATACAGCCACCAATCCCCAAAGGTGATGGCTGGGTTTGAACTGATCCATGCAGTTTCTCATATGGTTCCTCCAGAGGTAAAGGATAAGAATGTACAGTCCTCATGCATGGCTCTGGTTAGGGATGGGACAACTGTTTGAGGCCAAAGAGAACAGGCTAATTGGCCCGCACAGGATAAAACACCCAAGTTCAAATTAACTGGGTCTAAAAAAGCAATGCAATCTATAAGGGTCTTGCTAGAAATGGGTGACTTCTGGAGTTGTTTGTTGAATTATAACATAGTTCCTAGATGAAGTTGGGGCAAAGGAAGCATAATGCTTTACTTATTTTGAACAAATAATTACACACCATGGCATGATAAACAGTACAATATTAACTGCCTAAAAATGATGTGAACATTGGGGCAGAAGAAGAGTTATATATATTTATGTTTTTTAGATTTATTTATTTATTTGAGAGAGAGCGTGCGCATCAGGGGTGGGGCAGAGGGAGGAGAGAAAAAATTCTCAAGCAGACTCCCTGCTGAGTGCAGAGAGGACTCCGGGCTCGATCTCACTATGGAGATCATGACCTGAGCCCAAATCAAGAGTTGGATGGTTAACTGACTGAGCCACCCAGGCGCCCCTATAATTTTTTTTTTTTAATGTAAATACCATTGGGCTTTCAAAGAACTGCATGCTGGTTATATTTGGGCCTTTCCCAATGCACAGTCAGTATGTTGTCTTTGGAAGTAACGAGTGACCCAGGAAGGCTGGTCTGAGAGCTTTTTGTGAGTGTCTCTCTATAACTCCCTTATAACAACCCCAACAGATGCAGGCCAATGAGGGGCCCTCTCTCCCTGCACGTTCTCAGGCCTTGAGATGCAGCGCAGGCGGCCTCCAACAAATCATTTATTCCACAAGATTGAAAGCACATCAGTGATAAACACAGGAGGGATTCAATGCCCTGGAGTCCCAGCTTAAGAGGCTCTCCCCGCTCCACAGGGCAGGCAGCCCAATTTCACAGAGGGAATTCAACCAACCTTTAGCGGGATGCTCAAAACAAACTAGAGGTCAAACTTTAACCTGCTTTGAAGACAAAGTGCAACTCGTTCTGAGGCGCAGCATCAAAAGTGGCTTTTTAAAAGGCAGGGCAATGATTTCATAAAGAGAAACTGTCCAGGCCAGGTTCTGAAAAGTTATAAACTTTTTGCTTCAGATCTACATCCCAGTATCTGCTTACAGCAGCCGGATTACTGGTAGACCGAAGTTCCTAAAGCAGGGTTAACTGTCCTACGAGGATGGGGTGAGTGTGAAGCATCAGGTGTGCTCACAGACAGCCACCCACGAGGTGACCTTCCTTGTAAAGGGTCCATAGCGCCACACCTCCCACGAGCTGAACAAGGACAGATGCGGACTTCTGGACATACCTGGAGGGCGAAGATAACCAGATCTGCTTGTTTGGGGTCTGCTTGTTGATCACGTAGGTTCCTAGATCTCCACCCAGTTTAACTGTTAAAACACCACTCTGGCGGATCAGGTGGCAAAAGCACGAGGAAAAGAGAACAAGACAAAGTTATCACTTTGTCACAATTGCTAAATTGCTTCCTATCTCGACGTTGGTACACAGGACACACCGCGAAGAAGCGCCTTTCGTGTTAGACACGGCAGATCACGCAGAAAGCACACGGCTCCGAGTCAGACTATGACTAATCACGATAATACTTAGACCTCGTAGTGCTCTCCCTCACTCCCTGGGAGGCTGGCGAGGGGAGAACTCTCATTATTCCCGTCTCGAGGTGAAAAGACAGCAGTGGCTTGTCTGAGGAGTGAAAGCCGGCCAGCGGGAGGCTGCGCATCCTGCCCGCTGCCGCAGTTCCCTCAAAGCCCAGCCAGAACGCACAAAAGGATGTTACAAAACGCAGACCCCAACTCTACCGGAGTCCCACGTCAGCCCAAACATCAGACAGGGCACGTTCATTACCAAAACAACGAAAAAAGGGAAAAGAGAAGGAAGCGGTCAAACCACCGGCTTTGCTGGTCTTAGAAGAGCCATAGAGCCAGCTCTGCTGGTAGAAGGCCCGCACTCCAGACAGGTTTTATCCTCAGACCCTTCCCACGCATCTCACAAGCTGCTCTCAAGGGCTTTATTTTCCCCTAAAGAGCCCTGAATTCTCTAAAAGCCTGGTTGGTCCACCTTTGCTCAATAAATGCTCATTTAAATTTGAAAACACTCTTTCAACAAAGGAGCCCTTTACTTCCAAGGTCTGAGGTTTCTTTAGCATGTGCAGAATATTACAGAAGCAACCACACAGCTCAGTCCCTTTATTGGAGCTGGCGTGCAGGAGGCAGCCCCTCGCTGTTCCCCACCCCCGGCGTAAGCCACGGAGACACACCACTGCCTTTCTCTGGGCTTCTAGAGCCCCTGTCCGATCAAGAGGCCCCGATGTTTCTTAGAACACTTTGTGTTTGGTTTGCAAACACAAACAGCTATTGAAAAGGTAAATGGCAGTGATAATAATAATACATAATAATAGTAATATAACTGACAGGCAAGAGAGAACTCTATTGGGTTATACTTTTCAAAAAAAAAATTTATTTATTTATTTGAGAGAAAGAAAAAGATCTTATCCATTCTTGAGAGTGAGTGAGAGCGAGCACAAGCAGGGGGAGGAGTAGAGGGAGAGGGAGAAGCAGGCTTCCCGCTGAGTAAGGAGCCCAATGCGGGGTTCGATCCCAGGACCCTGAGATCGTGACCTGAGCTGAAGGCAGACGCTTAACTGACTGAGCCACCCAGGCGCCTCAGTAACATTTTTTTCTGATTAAAAAGAAAACAAAGAGGGGTGCCTTGGTGGCTCAGTCGTTGGGCGTCTGCCTTCAGCTCAGGTCATGGTCCCGGGGTCCTGGGATCGAGTCCCAAGTTGGGCTCCCTGCTCAGTGGGGAGCCTGCTTCTCCCTCTCCCTCTGCCTCTCCCCCTGCTTGTGCTCTCTCTCTCCCCTTCTCAAATAAATAAATAAAATCCTTAAAAGAAATTAATTTTTTTCCTTGAAACCCACCTTTACTATTTTGGTAGGACTGCCGCCTTTCGTTTACTTAAAAGTGTCTTGAGATGCCTGGCAGCACAGTAGGTTAAGCGTCCGACTCTATTTCAGCTCAGGTCATGATCTCAGGGTCGTGAGATCGAGCCACCGTGTCATCACGCTCTGTGCTAGGCATGGAGCCTGCTTAGGATTCTCTCTCTGCCTCCTTCCCTCTGCCCCTCCCCCTTCTTTTAATTTTTAAAAATTAAAGGGAGGGGAGAGAGTCAAAATCGTCAGCAGCTGCGGACAGGGGCACTAACCAGTCAGAACAGCCCCTGTCCACAGCTTGGTGGAGGCTTATTCCGCCACTCAGTACCAGCCCTACACAGTCGGGAGCAAAAGGAGCAATTTCTGTTGTCACTAGCTTGTTTTGTAGAAATAGACACCCATGGGATGGCATGTTGAGTCGGGGGAGTTCAGGTATATGTGGCTTCCCACACTCCAAAAAGAGATACCCCTCTTAAGGAGTAAGAATAATGAATGTGAAGCCCTTTTCCAATTTAAACCTAATGGAAATTCGGAGAAGTAGAGGGATGTCACCCACTTCCCAGCTGAAGAACCTGGCACTCACAGAAGTTAAGATAATTCACTTACAGACTCTTGGACAGAAAATACAAATCCAGGACGATAGGCTAGATGCTTTGTCTCCATATCCAATAAAATGCTGCCTCTGAGCAAGTGTCTGTAACCTGGGACCCAGAGGTGGTCTTCAGGGGTCTGCAGACTGTCCCGGCCTGAAGCTGAAATTGTACACACAGGTGTACGGGGAAGGTTTTCTTGGAAGAAGGTCCAGGAAAGGTTAAGGAACCTCTGCTTTATGGCACTGATATGCCGACAGCTTAGTGAGTAAAGAACATGACAGCAGATTCTCATCAAAAAGTCAAAGAGGCCAGGGCTCCACCGGGGGAAAAACGAAGGTGGCTTGGAAGTAACCCCTCAGACAGCACAGTCCTTCTCCCGGTCCTGGCCAGATTTTGCCGGTCAAGTGCAGCCGACTCCATGGATCCTAGTGATGGGAGGTGCTTTCTGCTCTGGTGGGCAGTCCCCTCTAATGGCAGGGCCAGTGCGGGTGAGGCCTGGACCCAGACGCTGACCCCCCCAAGTTACCCACCCCACACGACAGCCAAGGAGCGCTCACAGAGCAAACAGAACAGACATGTTCTTGGGTCTATCTGGAATACTGCTGTCAGTTGTCTACTTGGTCAGGACCAAGCTGGTAAAACGTCTATGATGCTGAGTGGCATCAATGAGAGTGTGTGTGGGCCCCATTTCGTTTATGTGCTGAATCAACATTTCTTAAGTCCCTATCATGTATTTGGCAATGTTTCCGGCACTGGGATAACAAGAGTGGACAGTGTCCTGGCTGCCAAGGAACTCAGTCTCACCATGGGAGCTGATGTGTAAATCGACAGCTGGTACACGGGGTGATCAGTGCTCTACAGACTCATCCTTGGAGTGCTGGGCAAGGAAGTAAGTGTGCTATCTGCCTGGAGCATCTAGGAGGACTTCCCAGAGGAGGCAATGCCCAACTGGACCCTGGGGACAGGGAAAGACTGCACCCCAAGAAAGCTCAAGTAACAGTGTTACGGGTATTCTCTTGCCTATAATGTAGTTTCAATAGATTTGTGAAATGTGTAAGTTAGCGAGCACTTGAGAGACTCTTATTAGGAATTCACACCCCAGGGTAGATAGCATTTCAAAGTTCTTAATCAGAAGTCCCAACAACAGAGTCAGCTACTGTATGCCTTTAGTTTCTACATCTATACTAGAGCATTTCCTAAGTAGTAAATGATTTGTTCGAAATAATTTTTTCCTGGTGAGGAGAATGACCACTTAAGGTATATGGACTGGCTAGAAAAACAGAGGTGCCTCTCCCTTTGCAGGAATGGGTTACAGAATCTGGAAACCCCAGCAGCGGGGTCAGAGAGACACTCTGCAGGGAGGACTCCGGTAAGATCCTGTGACCCACCACTGAGCAAGAGCCTTTTTTCTTTTAAAGATTTATTTATTTATTAGAGAGAAAGAAAAAGAGAGAGAACGGGGGAGGGGCATAGGGAGAGAGAGAATCCTCAAGCTGATTCTTCGCTGAGTGCGGAGCCCGATGCAGGGCTCGATCCCAGGACCCTGAGATCATGACCTGAGCCGAAACCAAGAGTCAGCCACTCAACCAACTGAACCACCCAGGCGCCCCTGAGCAGGAGCATTTGCTGCTAGATTCCAAGGGGTAAACAGAATCCAGCTGCTAGAACACTGGCACATTTGCTTCTAATGAAACACTCATGCAAAAATACTTGAGTCCCTAAGTATTCTCACTAATGTTACAAGAATGAGTGGTGTGACTGTTTTTGTGGCATGTTAATGAATGTTTGTATGCATGGCCTAGTTTAGCCGGAGACTTGGTTTCCCTGTAAGTACAGCTAGCCCCTGGTGGGGAGGCTGGGGGAGAGGAGACCTGTAACTCCCCTGGCTCCACCATTCCACAGACAGTCAAGCTGTGGGGGCCAGTTAGTAAGGGTTCCCCAGCAGCTTGCCTTCTGAGGCTGTCTGCAGAAACACTTTGAATGCCCTGCCCTGAACGATGATGCTCACAGCAGTCCCCAAATCCACCTGGAAGGCATCCAACCCTTTCTGGCCCCGTTGCCTTACATTTGACCTCGAAGTCCCTCACTGTCCTTCCAACCAGGCTTGAAATCTTCCAGACTCTGCTACCTGCTCCATCTGATGGAGTCCCTTCTCTGTCCACAGTAATATCCAACAGCATTTCTATCACGTTAGCCTTGACAGCTGGTTGTCCTAATAATTCCACTTCATAACATTTCTGACTATTAATTAATTGCCGCCAAGAGGATTAATTTCCGTGGGGGATTTTCTGGCAAAAAAGCCGCAGCTCCCTAAGGCGTAAACAGCATTCTAAAGGCAAAGGTGGACCACTACTCAGGTCTGCCACCTGGTGGCCAGTTGATGTAGAGCAGCACTCCCTGGGCTTCAGGGCTCCGCGGCTCCCCCCAGTGCATTTAGGATCATCTGAGGAGTGATTACAAAAACTTAAAAAATTAACTCCCCTGTCCTGCCTGGGACATGCTCCCAGACCAACTAAAGAAAAATCTCTAGGGGTGGGACCCAGGGTGCACATTAGAATCCCAGGTGAGCTTTTCAAAAATATGTTTCCTGATAGTACAACCTGCCCTGCTGATCACAATCTCAGAATCTCCCAGAAGTGGGGCCCATGTCTGTGTGCTCTGAACACACCCTGCTTAAGGAGGAGTGGTTCAGGCCTCCCCATGCCCCCAGGAGAGTCATCCTGCTAGACAAACACAGGTCTGGGTCCCTCCCTGATTTACCTTCACGAGTACTGAGTGGTGCTTGAGAACCTATATTTTTAAGCAGAAATGAGGCTCACAAAGGCCATGACTTGCCCAAGGTCACAAGCCTGGCGGGGCAGGGCTGGAACACCAACGTGCCAGTCTTTGGGTCCCACCCGTAACCGCAAGCTGCTGGATGCTTAACTCCACTGGAGGGGAATTCTTTGCCTTAGTGAGCTAGAATTCTTAGGGAGGAAACAGAAAAAAATGAAAATAAGCAAAAAGGTACCCCAAATGAGACATCATAGTCTTCGAATGTGTAAGGCTTGTCTGCGAGGTCTTCGAAAAACTCTGCTAAGGAGTCCAGTGTCTTCTCCGCCAGTCTTTCATAGGTGGTCTCATTCAGAGAGCTGCAGGGGAAACATAAAAACCCCCAAAACACACGTTTACCAAACTGCTCCATTTCATTAATGTCAAACCCACACATCTATTTATTTACTTATTTAATTTATTTTTAGTAAATACACCCAATGTGGGGCTTGAACTCACGACCCAGAGATCAAGAGTCGCATGCTCCACAGACTGAGCCAACCAGGCCCCCCGACACATAGGTTTTTTACTTAAAAATTTCATGGGAAATAGCTACCATGTACAGAGAAAAAATTTAAGCAGCATGAAAGAGTTTATACAGGGGTGCCTGGGTGGCTCAGTCGGTTGAGCCTCTGCCTTCAGCTTAGGTCATGATCCTGAGGTCCTGGGATGGTCCATTGGGCTCCCTGCTTAGTGGGGAGTCTGCTTCTCCCTCTTCCCCTGCTTATGCACACTCTCTCTGTCAAAAAATAATGATAAATAAATAAATCTTAAAAAAAAAAGTTTGTAAAGAAATTTCTTCCCAAATAAGCAGCCCCCATCCACAGAGTCAACTACGAATAACAGTCTCTTCTATATCCATCCAGAATTTTATATTCTTTTTAATATAGAAATTGAAGCACCTTGCAGTTTTTATTTAACATATCCTGGAAATTGTTCCATATTAGCACATACGGATATTCCTGGTATTTTATTTTATATTATTTATTCAACCTGACTCCTTCAGCTGGACATTATGCTTATTAAAACTGCTTGTATTATGATTAAAATTATGTTGGGCAAACCACAAAGTGGGAGAAAATACTTGCATTACATGTATCTGAAAAAGGGCTTATTTCCAGAATATATAAAGAACTAAAAAAAAAACAAACAAAAAACTACAAGTCAAAAGAAAAAGAAAACCCAATAGAAAAAATGGGTAAAATACTTGAACAGATATCATTTTAAAAAACATATCCAAATGGCCAGTGGACACATAAAAAGGGGTATAGCTTTATTAATCTTCAGGAAAGTACATTAAAAAATCACAATGAGATACCACCAGAATGGTTAAAACGAAAGAGACAGATGACATCAGGAGTTGGCCCAAAAGTGAAGCAACCCCTCTCCATTGGTGTGTGTGTGTGTGTGTGTGTGTGTGTGTGTGCGTGAGTGTGTGTGTGTGTGAGTGCGCGCGCTTGTACACGTGTGTATCACGGCCAGAGAAGCCGATCCTAGACCTCGAGAGAGGACAGCGTGTCACCTGGAAATCTTGGCCTTTGAAGTGGATGACAGACCTGATGAGAGGGCCTGTGGTGGCAGCCTTGGGGTTAGGGGCTAATGTGCTGTGTGTGCGTGTGGAAGGAGGGTCCGTGGAGACATCAGACTGGCAACGCTGGGGAGCTCTGCACCAGAACCCACTGCTTCCTTCCAGGGCGCCCACCAGGCTCTATTTCCCAGCATCCCCTGGGGTCCGCTGGGGTCATGTGGCCCAGTCCCTCCCACTAAAATCTGAGTGAGGGACAAGTGCCTCTTCCAAGACGTCATGCTCTTGTCCCTTTCTGTGGAATGGAACCCGGGCAGGGTGACCTGGCTTCTACCGTGTAGAGGACAGTAAGGTACGGACAAGTGATAGGTGGAAGGACCCTGGGTGCCTGAATCCCTGCCCAGAGGCACGCCCACCCTGGACTGTTGGAACACAGGGACGCAAACCACCGCTGGCTTGAGCTATCACAGTTGTGGGCCTGTCTGTCACAGAGGCTTGGCCGACCCGAACTGCTAGGTCATCGAAGAGAGTAACAACAGAACTCTGGAAACGACCCAGTGTCCAGCAGTAGGGAACGGGTTAAATGAACTGTGGTACATCCATCAAGTTTAATATTATTTTATTTAAAATAATGTGGCAGAGGGGCGCCTGGGTGGCTCAGTCGGTGAAGCGTCCGACTCTTGATTTCAGCCCAGGGCTTGATCTCAGGGTCGTGAGTTCAAGCCCTGTGTTGGGTTCCACACTGGGGCAGAAGTCTACTTAAAAATAAATAAATAAATAAATAAAATAATGTGGTAGATAGTTGTTGATACGGAAAGATGCTTATGAGTGCTTCTGCTAAGGGAGAAGACAGGTTTTGGATGGGATGGGCTTTTTTCTTTTTTTAAACCGGTAAGAGAAAAGGAAAAAAAATTTTAAAAAGCTAATAGAAGTGGCGCCTGGGTGGCTCAGTCGTTAAGCGTCTGCCTTCGGCTCAGGACATGATCTCAGGGTCCTGGGATCAAGCCCTGCATCGGGCTCCCTGCTCTGCGGGAAGCCTGCTTCTCCCTCTCCCTGAAGCTTGTGCTCGCTCTCTCTCCCAAATAAATAAATAAAATCTTTAAAAAATAAAAGCTAATAGAAGTATGAGCAGGTATGCACATGTTGTGTATTGAGAGAGAGAAGGAGGGAGGAGGGAGAAGGGCTCTCTGACGTGGAACGGGCTTTATCTTACCCAGGGTCGCCCAAAGTTCCCGCTGTCCTCATATTCATCAAACAGACGCTCTGCTTTTTGACATTCACGATCTGATCGAGGCGGTGGAGGCTCAGACTCTAAAAGCCAAAGTGAAGAAGAACATTACCATTTCTCAGTGCATTACGGTCCCTGAACGCACGGTTTAAATAGCACCACTTCTTCATTCGGGAATAAACGTTAAATTTTTCCAGGGGTGAGGGGTGCCTGGGTGGCTCAGTCGTTAAGCATCTGCCTTCGGCTCGGGTCATGATCCCGGGGTCCTGGGATCGAGCCCCGCATCGGGCTCCCTGCGGGAGGCCTGCTTCTCCCTCTCCCACTCCCCCTGCTTGTGTTCCCTCTCTCACTGTCTCTCTCTCTGTCAAATAAATAAATAATAAAAAAAAAAAAAATTTTTTTCCAGGGGTGTTTCTGGGATGTTTTCACCTTGTTTTAATGCATTACCTTGTGTTCATTCTCTCGGGCTCTCTCTAAGCCTGTGCTGTCTGATATAATAGCCCCGAGCCACAGGCAGCTCTTTACGTTTAAATTTATTGTCACTTCCCATCACTTCCCACTAAAATTTGAGTGAGGGACAAGCACCACTTCCAGGACTCCCATGTTCTGGAAGGCCACGTTTCAAGTGTCCTGTGGCCTCATGTGGCCAGTGGCACATAGAACGGAGTCACCATCACAGGAAGCTCTATGGGCGGCACTGTTCCAGGCTATTCTGTGGTGTTTAGCACAGGCCAGGCACGTGGAAGCATCAGCAAAGCTCCTGGAATTTGACTAATGCAAGCAACAATGAACAGCAAGAGGCAGATGTCTGCTGATGTCCAGAAGAGAGGATCGGACTGCAGATGGACAGGTTTCATTAACATGACCTGTGGGAGATAATGTGACCTGTTGATTTCCTCCAACACATAACTGGAAGAGGGTCCAGGCGCTCGTCTCTGGGGCTGCCAGCTCTACTGGCCAGCTGGAGAGACAGATGACATAACCAGAGGACAGTGACAAACACCGAGGGGAGCCTGGCTGAGGGACCTGCCCCAGTGAGGGAAGGGACGGAGCCTGTAAAAGGAGAGAAAAGTGGTACATCAGAGTGGAGATGTCAGGGGAGAGGATGGAGAGGTGGCCATGGGGCCTTGTGAAGGCTCTCAGCTGGACTTCATCCTGGGAAGGCACCCAAGGCCTGGAAGGGGTTGGTAGTAAGATTCACCTTCTCCAAAGGTCACTCTGGAGCAGGGCTCAGAGGCCGCTGTTCTCTTGAGCCATCGGTGCCCTTGGCAGGCTCAGAAAGGAGAAGGCAGAGGGCACAGGGCTGAGAAATGAGCAGAAAAGGGGGAAACAGGGGTGCAGAGCACAGAGGGTATGATTTTAAAAGGTTGGTTCCGAAAGAGGAGAGAGCCAGCATGATAACCAGTTATTGCTACTGCACATTCTAGAGTGTTCCCTATCTGCTGGGTGTTGCAGCTCTCAGTCTTGATAGAAATGGATGTGGTTAGTCCTCATTACAAGTCTGTGAAGCAAGTACTATTATTATAGTGGTTCCTTATGACAGTTTGTTCTATAAAGTCACCACGAACAGGAGGTTAGTGAAATGCTCCTACGGGAAATACAGGCTTAGGTTCCTGCAGGCTTCAGGTCACATGTGACCAGCTGATCCATACATAACCTCGTTTACATGCGTTTCTGCTTAAAGACATCTTGTTTAATACACATTGTTGATACATGAACACTGAGCTCGGGGCCAACAGCACCATTACTGAGGCTGGAACGAGGCTGATCTAACACACGTGTTTTGTCCGTAAGGCCCTAAGCCTTCTCACACTTAGAATGCTAGACAGTACTCCGGCCCTATGCTCCAGGGCCATTTTAAACAGTAAAATCACCAACCAAAAACACAAAAATGCAAACAACGTGCCACTAACTAGATGGTGGAAAGGACACTTGACCCCGTGGGAGCCGAGAGAAGAAGACAGAGTGTCACCTTGTTTGACCTCGGTGGGAACACGCAAGCATGGGGCAACTCTAAGTTTTTGCTGCTGTGTGTGTGTCCCAGAGTGACCACGAAATCCACCCTGGGTATTGATTTTGGGGTTACAGATAAATTTTACTGAGTAGGTGAATTCACAAGTCCAGGATCCACGAAACATGAGGATAGGCTGTATTTGTATTCTATGGATGAGGAACCGGAGCAAATCACTCGATACGTGGAGGAGCAGAGATCTGAACCCATACCCTCTGGCCCCAGGGTCTGGGCCACAAAGGAAAAGAATCACACACCTGGGAATCGTACAGGGTTTCAGACATGGAAGGGAAGTTCGAGAACTAGGGGCTCAGAGTTTCCCTCCCCTCCAGGATCCTGGCCTCTCAAATCCTAGTTGTCGTAGTCTGACACCTTCGCATAGCCTTTTTCCTGTTTCGTTTTTGGTTTTGACTTTTATATCTTGGATGGCTGTTCTTGGTGGGAGGTTTGCGCTAATGCAAGTTACTCATAGCCAGAAGTAGAAGTCTACATCCGGCTGTTTTTAATCATCAAAGGAACTGCTGCCAAAGTTGCTGGTCTCTTACCTGTTCTCCCCCAAGCTAACGTTCCCTGGGTACCTGCTCACCCTTTCCGAGCCCCCGAAGGCAGGGGTCATGGTACCCGCCACGCAGACTGGTGATGAACATTAGACAGGAGGACACGAATACCCCAAACACAGGGCTGGAGGGTGTCCAGTCAATTTCGGTTTTGGAGCATGTCAACAATAGTGGAGAGGCGGAGGGTGAGGCCCGGCCTGGGTGGCTGGCAGGGAGGCCAGGCCTCACCCCAGGGGTCCCCTCCGCAAAGCACAAAGCTGCAAAGGCTGGAAGAGTGAGTCAGTTCTCACCCACCGCTGGTGGGGGATGGACGGGTACAACCATTCTTGGCATCAAATGAGTTGAATATTTGCTGGCCCCTCGCCTAGCAATGCCATTCTGAGGGATTCGGCCACAAAGAGCCTCTGTCCATGCACAGGAATGCCTACAGCAGCACCATCATGCCCCCAGCACCATGGTGGTCACACAGATGTCACCAGGAGACTGGACAGAGTGTGATGGGCTCACCCAATGGGATACTACCCAGCAGAGAAAACGAAAAAATGACCACTGTGTGCATCAGTGTCGATGAGCCTCAAAAACAACACTGAGCACAAGGGACAAGTCACAGCACAATAAATACAGCAAAATTTTTTTCTATCAACAGCACACGCTTTAGGGAGACATACATGGGGGTGACACTCTAGGAAAAGGAGGGGATGCCCGACCGAATTCAGGAGAGCAGATTCCCCTCAGGGAGGCCCAGCGGCAATCGGGTGAGCACCAGAGCCCTCCGGGGGACAGGTCATATTCAGTCTCTCACTCTGGTGGTGAGGATGTGGCAGTGTGTCATTAGTCTTTAAACAGTACAGATTTTTTTTTTTAAGATGTATTTGTCAGAGAGAGAGAGCACAAGCAGGGGGAGCGGCAGGCAGAGGGAGCAGACTCCCCGATGAGCAGGGAGCCCGATGCGGCACTCGATCCCAGGACCCTGGGATCATGACCTGAGCCGAAGGCAGATGTTTATTTTATTTTATTTTTTATTTTTTTAAAGATTTTATTTATTTATTCATGAGAGACAGAGACAGAGAGAGAGGCAGAGGGAGAAGCAGGCTCCCAAGGAGCAGAGAGCCTGATGCGGGACTCGATCCCAGGACCCTGGGATCATGACCTGAGCCAAAGGCAGACGCCTAACCATCTGAGCCACCCAGGCGCCCCGAAGGCAGATGTTTAACCGACTGAGCCACCCAGGTGTCCCGTGAATTTGTTTTTTCAATTGTGAATTTTATAAAATAGAAATCAAGCATTTCCACAAGTTCAGTTTAACATCTGAGCTGACATGTGCTGATGGGGGAAATATACACTGGATTTGGAAGACTGTTAGATATCTCAATGATTTTTCAGTACTGATTACATGTTGAGATGATAATATTTTGAAAAACTAGATTACCGGGATGCCTGGGTGGTTCAGTCGGTTAAGCGTCTGCCTTCGGCTTAGGTCATCCCAGGGTCCTGGGATCGAGTCCCGCATCGGGCTCCCTGCTCAGTGGAGAGCCTGCTTCTCCCTCTCCCACTCCCCGGCTTGTGTTCCCTTTCTCGCTGTGTCTCTCTCTGTCAAATAAATAAATAAAATCTTAAAAAAAAGAAAAAAAGAAAAACTAGATTACCTAAATGTACTGTTGAATTTTTTTTTAAACTAAGCTCTAGGCCCAACATGGGGCTTGAACTCATGACCCTGAGATCGCAAGTCACATGCTCTACCAACTGAGCCAGCCAGGCGCCCTCTGTGGTGTTGAAATTAATTTTACCTGCTTTTTACTTTTTCAATTTAGCTACTAGAAAATTTAGAATTACATATGCAGCTCCCATTCTATTTCTTTTGGATATTGCTGTAGAAGTAAGAATACACGGTAGAGAAAATAAGGGTGGGGAAGAGGCCCCCACAATGAACTCAGGTCCTGATTGAGATCTGGAGTGCAGGGACTTTGGGGGTCAACCTGAGGACAGGTAAGGGCTTGAAAAAATTAAACATAGTGGTCCCAGTTGCCATTGTCATCCACCCAGTTCCGCAAATACTGGAGATGTGTGAGGGAACTGTGTTACAAAGTTCAACAAACCTGATTAATTTACTATGGTAGAGGAGGCCCAATGGGTGACCCATGTTGTTAACTACGTCCAAACCTCCCAAGACCCCTAATCCCAGTGTGTGTCCAGTGCCCACCTCCTGGGTGGCAGCTCTAAGTTGGGCATGCTTCTGAGTCAACAGTCCTTAACAGCCACTAGGTACCATCCCAAAGACCATGCCGTATCTTGTCACTGTCCTATATTACAAACTGCGGGCAACCCATGGCCCACACCAGCAGGGGTCAGAGTGCAAGCCAGGGCAGCTCCAGGTGGGAGAAGCACAGGAGAGGGGTAGTAAGTGTCTCTGTCTCTGTTCTGCACTGGACATCATGGTGCCAGGACGGCCATAGCTGCCTGTATTTCCCAAGAAGGGGGGGGCCGGTATCAAGGCCCCAACTTTGAGTGTTGGCAACCAATCCTAACTTCTCTTCAAACACGGCCAAATAACAGGGCGGTGGGAAGTTCAAGTCCAAAGTCCAACTTCCAGAGCTCCACAGGCAATTTGGGTTGGATTTTGTCTGCCTCCTTCCTCACGCACAGTCTGTCCAGCAGACCAGCCACTCAGCGTCCATATCCATCTGCCTTCCCCGCCCAGGCCTGTCTCTCCTTCGGGAATGCCCTTCCCTGCTCCCTTGTCACCTTCAAGACCCTGGTTAGGGGGGCCTGGGTGGCTCAGTCGGTTAACCCTCTGCCTTCAGTTCAGGTCATGATCCCAGGGTTCTGGGATGGAGCCCCATTACCGGCTCCCTGCTCAGCGGGGAGCCTGCTTCTCCCTCTGCTCCCCAACTTGTGCTCTCTTTTCTCAAATAAATAAATAAAATCGAAAGACCCTGATTAAACATCGCGTCCACCCCCGCTGTGAGTCTTCCTCAACCCCACAGCCATTCTTTGGGCTTCCTCCTTTCAGGTCTTGGAGCGAGTGGGTCAGATGCTTCTTTGCTGCCCCCAAGGGAAGAAAAGGGAATTAACTTCCAGGGCTCAAGACTTTATGTTCGGTTAATCCAACGTAATCCTCACAACAGCTCGGCAAAATGGGCGGAACCCCTTCATCTCTTGACCGAAAAGGAAGCCATGCCTCGGAGAGGTTCCAGATCCCCCGCGGTCACACAGCTCTGCTGAATCGAGCCGGAACTTGGGAGCGCAGGCCGGGTCATTTTCCAAAAGCTTCGCTGCTCTAGCTCTTGTGCTCCACAGCCTGGGCGTTTCCATCGCGCTCGAAGGGAGCGTTTCGTTCATAAAAGCCCATGCTTGGAAACATCGCTCTAGTATTACATATACGCACTATGCTAGACTATTATGTTGGTCTGTGTATTGCTTTGTTCTATTTATATATATTTATGTACCACACTAATATTATACGTCATGGACATATATATGTACGTTACAGTACCTTGTACAGTATATAGTATCGCTTAGGTTGAAGTTCTGGCAAAGGGAAGTGGCGGGCTCGGCGCCATCCACGGACCCCCGAGAGCGGGTCCCCGGCCACTTCCCCCGCGTTGCGTTCCCCCCGCAGTTGCAGTGCATTGCCCTTTTCACCGGAAAGCAGAGGCCGGTGCAAACGTGACCCCGGCAAACAGAAGGCGGACTGCGCGGCCGCGCGCCCGGCAGGGAGCAGCGCGCACCACTGCCGCGCTCCACCGCC